CGCTCCTGTGTGATGCTGCCGCTGGTCTTCGCACTGTCCCACACAGTAGCCAGGCACTCTGTTACGTTTCTAAGCTCACTTCAAGCCACTATATCACAGAGCCTCTACGGTCCCATCGTGCAGAGAGGGCTTAGACCATGTCACTCTTTGCTCATCCTCTCGTCGCCCCCATCCATCCCATGACCCCCAAAACCCACCTAAACAGTAGCACCATTTATTTGGAAACATAACTTGTCAACAAATTGGAGACTCAACTGCCTTAGTCACAGCTGGAGAAACCATCCTTTGTGATCTTCAGTAACCTTTACATGAGGAGCCCCGTAATAAACTCTTGTTTGAATTTAGTGTTCACAAAATGCTTGTTGCTGTCGACAAATTGCTGTGCTTCCTGGAATTTTGGGGTAACAATGTACAAATTCCCATTTTTATCTTGGCCAGTAAGAAGCCCAGAGATAAACCTAGTAGGTAGTAGTGGCGGCACCCTAGGCTTCTGGTTCAATACTCTTTCCTTTCTCGATGGGGTAGCATAACCCTTTTTGAGTCTTGGAGCCCTCTGGATATGGTCTAATATTATAAACTCCTTCAAATTCTTTGTGGAAGTTAGTGCTTCTTTGGAACATTCTTGTTGTTGTTGTTGTTTTTCCCCCCAAGATTTTATTTATTTATTTATTGGGGGGCGTGGAGAAGGAGCAGAGAGGGAAGGAAAGGGAAGGGGAAAGAATCTTAAGCAGAGTCCTTGCTGAGTGTGACCCACATGCGGCGCTTGATGTCACAACCCTGAGATCGTGACCTGGGCTGAAACCAAGAGTCGCATGCTTAACTGACTGAGCCACCCAGGCGCCCCTTTGGAACATTCTTGACTTTGCCCAAATCTTGACTGAAATCCTCCCCATTCTTCAAAACCCAACTTGTTATCCTGCTGCTCGAGTATTGTGAACAGTTTACTTCCTCTGTGAACATATTAATATACATGTTAGTGGCAGAACCCAGATGTAATTTGTTTTACAAAAATGGCTTGATATTATATATCTTTTGAAGTTTGCTTTTTTTTTTTTTTTTAACTCAAAAGTATCTTGCCGGTCTTTGTGTGGCTTTGACTGTCTTTGCCAATGTGTAACAGCTTCTTAGTATCTGGCTTTGGAACATAATTCTGTATGTTCAGTCTTTCTGTTTCAGTGTTTTATTCAGTGATTCCTGAAGACATGTATGAATTTTTATTTTTAAGTAGGCTCTTGGCCCAAAAAATTGTTATGTATTTATTTATTTAATTTTTATTTTTAAGTAGGCTCTCGGCCCAATGTGGGACTTGAACTCATGACCCTAAGATCAAGAGCTCCAGTCCCTGGAGCAGGAAGCATGTACTGATGCTTTCACTTTGGACTGATTACAGGCTCTGGGCATGCATTTATTCACTAATTATGATTTATGCTCCTACTATGTGCCAGGGAGCCGCTAAGCCAAGCACTGAGGGACACAGACATGAGCAGGACCAGCCTCTGCTGTAATCTGAACGATAGAAATGTTCTGTATGGACATGGCAAGTCCTAATGGAGAGGTGTTAGCGCGTGACATACATGCTGGGATTGAAAGACTTAGTGTACGAAACACAAGTATAAAGTATCTCATTGAGGGGTGCCTGGGTGGCTCAGTGGGTTAAGCCTCTGCCTTAGGCTCAGATCATGATCTCAGGGTCCTGGGATTGAGCCCCGCATCGGGCTCTCTGCTCTGCAGGGAGCCTGCTTCCCCTCTTTCTCTGCCTGCCTCTATGCCTACTTGTGCTCTCTCTCTCTCTCTGTCAAATAAATAAAATCTTTAAAAAAATAAAGTATCTCATTGATAATTTTTTTAACTTAAAAAAAATTTTTATGTATTTATTTATTTAATTTTTATTTTTAAGTAGGCTCTCGGCCCAGTGTGGGACTTGAACTCATGACCCTAAGATCAAGAGTTGCACACTCTATTGACTGAGCCAGCTGGGCACCCCTCATTGATAGTTTTTATATCAATCACGTGTTAATAATTTTTGACATGTTAGGGAAGATAAATGTATCTTTAAATTAATTCCCTTGTTTCCTTTAACCTGGAAAAATATGACTCGAGGAATTTTTAAATTATATGCATGGCTCCCATTACATTTCCGGGTCTGGTGGTCATAAAAATGAGCATGTCTGAGGTCATGTCACGTCAAGCAGTGGGATAGTTCTCCTGGTTTAGGGGGATAGTCACATTTCATACAAATTTGACTCCTGCCAGTATTTAACTTTTTAAACATCATATTTTATTGGGCAGAGGTTGAACTAATGGGAACTCCCTATTTTCAAAATTCAATTTCTTGGGGCACCTGGATGGCTCAGTCAGTTAAGCATCTGACTCTTGATCTCAGCTTAAGCCTTACTCTCAGAGTTGGGAGTTCAAGCCCTGCACAGAGCTCCAGCCCTACTTAAAATAAATAATATAAAATAAAATAAAAATATTTTGCTGTTGCTGTATCTCTAAGCTCGTGGGTCAGAGGAATGGCAATCTGCATTTGCTTTATCCTCCAGGGTAGGTCCATGTTTTCCAGTAAACAGAATTGGTTACGGTTAACATTTCTGTAGTGTTTGCTGTGTGCCAGGAACCTTGACATTTATCAACTCATTCCATGCTCACCACCACCCTGGGGGGTAGAAGTCCACCATCCTTTCTCAGATGTGGCCTTGACTCATGCATCAACATGAAGACTGCAGAGTCCCGTTGCTTAGGACCTTGTGGCCATCTCGAATATGTAAATTGCTGGGATAAATGATACTCCGTAGGGGCTCAGAGAAGCAGTAGGAGCTGCCCTGTATCACACAGCAGTGTTCTTCCCAGAACACTCTTACATAATCAAAAAAATATGAAATGTGATATGATTGTATGCCATACAGAACCATACAATATGCTCTCTTATTTCCAGAACCATAATACCCATTTATCACAAGTCAAAGAGAGGTGTTTTAAAGCATCTAAGTACATTATAAAGCAGTGATTAATTGTGATAATTTTTCAAATTAATGATCCAGCACCCTGGGAGCCTGAAGAAGTTCCTTATTTTATTCACAACAGGCAAATGAAGCAGAAACTGCTTAAGTCTTCAAGTGGTAAATTGTTACCAATTCCCACAAGGACAGACAAAAACATCCTTGTGAATAAAAAGAGTCTTTTTTAAAAAAGTAACTCCCCTAAGCTTAGGGATATGGATTTTTTTTTTCTTAGACCACAAACATGTGTTTATTTTAACAAGATAAGTATAACTGAGTTCTAAAAGCTTTAGAGGAGAATTACAGTTGTGCAGAGCTGAGAAAAACAATTATTCTCTCATGTGGCTGCTTAGGGCTCATCTCAGCAAATACACGTGAGCATTTTGAGAGAAGAAATAAAACATTTCTGCCATTTTGCAATTAAGTTTTGACTCTGATCTGAAAAACACGTTTTCTTTAAATATCTTAAAATTTCATAAATCCATTGGCAATGTCTATCAGCTTTACCTCCAAAATATCCCCTCAAATTCTCAAGTCCATTGTTTACCACCCTGGGCCAGGCCACCATCATCTCATGCTAGGACTTCTGCTGTGGACAGGGTTCCCTGCCTTGCCTCCTAGAGCCTCTACTCCACCCAGCAGCCATTATTTGAGATGCAAATGAATCCCATCATTCTCCTGCTTAAAACTTTCCATGGTTTCTCATCATCTTTTAGAATCAAAGCCAGATTCTCCCTTGGCTATAAAAGATGTGGCAGCCTTGTCCCAGACCACACCCCTCTTGCCTGCCTGGGACCTCCGGCCACACTGCCACACTGGCCTCCTTTCAGTACCACATTCTCTCCGAGCACATTCCAGCCTCAGGGCCTTTGCACTTGCTGTTCCCTCTGCCTGGAACACTGTTCCTCACTGTGTTTCATGACTGGCTCCTTTGTGCCATTTGGGTCCCAGGTCTGACGTCATCTCCTCAGAGAAGCCATTCCCAATCACCCTGTCTAAAAAAAAGCCCTGTACCATTGTTTCCTGTCACATCCTTTATGGTTGTCCTCAACACTTTTCACTAAATTTATTGCGTTTATGTATTTGTTTACCTGTTTATTGTCTGTGTCTCCCATTCATCCCCAGGGTGAGCTCCATAGCGGCAAGAACTCGCTTATCTTATTCATGGTGTAGAAGAGTGCTCAGTAAGTGTTTGCTGAGTAAACAAAGGAATGAATGACCAAATAAACTCATGAGAGAAAGAAGGAAAAAAGAAACAGAGAGAGGGGGAGGGAGGGAGGAAACTATTATAAGGCAGTTATAAAATGATACAAGGAAGATGATGCCTTGGCTACCATTTAGCTAGATTGTTTGATCCGTATTATGTGACCTCATCTTAGTCGTTTAATATAAAATGATAATTTATTAGATTGTAATAGTATAGTTTCACTTTACTGTTTGCTCTGAGTCCCACGCTGTGCTAAGTATTCCCCCGCCTACATGTTTTCTCATCCTTCCAGCACCCTGCAAGTATGTTGTATTATTATTATCCCCATTTTGCTGATGAGAAACTGAGACTGGGGAGCAGGGCAAGTGATGAGTGAGGTGTTGGTGGGGTGGAGGGGCCAAGCGTCAGCTCAAGACTTTCTGATCCCAGGTTTTCTGATCTCAAGGTTTTCTGATCCCAGAACCCGTGGTGCCTACTACCCACTCTGCTCCAAGGCTCTGCCTGTTGAATTTTGATGATCCTCGTGATTTATTCTCTGAATAAACTCCCCATTGCAAGGGTCCTTGGTAGCATGGCTATGACAACTTGTCAATTCTGTGTGGGTATGTGGTAGACATGGACGTGGGGAAGCCCAGAGGTGGCAAGGGTAGAGTGAGTGGGCTTGGCAGGGGTGCGGGGACAAGATAGGGGAGAGGGAGCTAGCCTGAGGGTAGGGGGCCTGGAACCCAGCATCCAAGACTCTCCTGTGTAGGGCTGGGGGCAAGCCAGGCTCACTTCCCTTCTCTCTGATGCAGGATGGGGTGCATGAAGTCCAAATTCCTCCAGGACAGAGGCAAGGTCTCAAAAACCGAGCCCAGCACCAACCCACACAGCCCTGTGTATGTGCCAGATCCCACGTCTACAAGCAAGCGGGTGAGTGGGGGAAGAAAGGGGGGTTTGGCAGCCTGAGGGACTGCCCCGTGCTGTCCCAAATTGCCCTAACAGCCTCCCGTATTCCCAGCGGTCAGCAGGGGTGACATGGAGCTGACCCATCACCAGCATCTGCACCAAGGACCTGGGGCAGTGACGTCACTTCTCCTTATCCAGCTGCCCACACCTTGGCCCCTCTGCCCAGGTTCCAGGGACCAGGTCCCGGTGGGCATGGCAGAGGCCCCACACCCAGGCAGTAGCATGAGCAGTGCTGAGAATAGTCAGTGACCTGACGAGTAACAACAGCAGTTGAAGTGGTGACAGTAATGACAGCATTAGTGCTGTAGCGACAACCGTAATAGCAATTATAGCAGCAAGAGCAGCAGGAGTATGATGGCAAGCGCAGACAATGAAGTAAGTAAGCGAAGCGGTCATACTAGTAGAAGTATTCGCTTACTTCTCCTCTGCTTATACAGAGCCCACGACCAACCATGCACTGTCCTAAATGCTGTACGGTTATCAGCACCTTAAAGCCTCACAGTAATCCTAGGTCTCCATTTTTGTTACATGGGTAAGACACAGAGCTTAATAATGTGCTGAAGGCTGTACAGGTAGCAAGGGGTAGAGGCAGGATTCGAACCTGGGCCATCTCCCAAGTGCCAGTGTTTGAAGCAGGAGAAACAGAGGTAGAAGCCAAATGCTCATGAGGAACTATAGTCAGGGCAATACTAGTGGTGAGAATGGGAGCCGTAGGTGCCCTGGCAGTAGGGCCCCTAGTCCTGTAGTCATGAGAAGGGTAGAAGACTCGGGGAAACAAACAAAGGGTTTTAGAAGGGAGGGGGGGCTTGGGGGATGGGTGAGCCCAGTGATGAGTATTAAGGAGGGCTCGGATTGCATGGAGCACTGGGTGTTAGATGCAAACAATGAATCGTGGAACACTACACCGAAAACTAATGATGTACTGTATGGTGACTAACATAACATAATAAAAAAAAAAATGGGGGGGTGGAGTGATAGAAGAGTGGCTATAGCAGTAACTGTGCTGTTAACCGTAACAGTACCAGAACTGGGAGCGGTGGTGATGGTACTATAGCAGCAGGAACAGCTGTAATAATCTTCCCATTCTTGGAACACCTGCTGTGTTCTAGGCTCTGGGGTGAGGGGCTTCTACAATATTAGTCCCCACCAAAAGTTGTGAGGCAGGAGTTGTGCCACTTTAAAGCCACTGTGACAAAGACTCAAAGAGGTGAAATGCCTCCCAGGGGCCACACAGCTGGGGACAGCAGAGCCAGGTCTTTCTAACCCTAAGGCTGGGTGCTCTCTACTCTGGAATCCTGGAGTCCGTGCTGTTATCTGAGGTCATCTACGGAAGCACAGACTCTGCTTGCTGCCTCCAGAGATGGGGGTGCACTCTCCTTCCTGGAACAGGCTCTTAGAAAATTCTGCCTCATATTGAAGGGAAGCCTGTTGTCTCATACCCTGACTCCTTGTTCCGAAACCTGCCCATCAGCCCCACACCAAATACATCCTCTCCCTTTGCCCCATGACAACCAGTAGAGAATAAAGCAAACATATTATCCCAACCCACCCATTCCTTCCGAGTCATCTTTCACACAACATGGGTTCCTGGCATCTCTCCATTCTGCTTGCCCTTCTCCAGGCATGATGTCTCAAACAGGGCTAATTTGGGGAAAGGGGCGGAGTGGGGAGGGGGCACGTTAGTGGAATAGTCACCTCCCTCCCTCTGCACTTAACCTCTATTAATACATCCTGATCCTGAGATTATGTGAGCTTTTCACACCAGTGACGTTCTGAACTGACATCTTAAACCCTAAGTCACTCCTACATCTGTTCTCTCTCCTAACCTGTGTGGCCCTGGGCCCTTTCTGTGGCTAGGGCTCCAGGTTCTCTGAGGCCCTCTGGCTTGGCACCAGTGGGAAGCAAAGAGTCTTCTCCCACTGGTTTTTGGTTGTCTCCTGAGCATCAGATTTAAGGGATGTTATTATCAGCCATTTGTCCTTCTCCTGCAGGGCATTAATTCAGTGATGAGTTAGTAAGTGTTTCTCAGAGAAAGGGTTCCCAGGCCAAACCAGTTTACAAAACGCTGGCCAAAACAGACTCCTTCTCTGTGGAAGTCCTCAGAGCTTTATGAATCTTGATGGGCTTTGTGGATCTCCCCGCAAAAAGATACTTCTCATTGTTCCCCACACCTGTTTCTCCAAGTTTACTTAAGTGTGTGACATACAAACACATTCCCCTTATAAAGAAAAGTCACAGGTTACAGTGAAAGCTATAGTTGCCCTGACCAATGTTTCCCTCCCCAGAGATATCCCACATCTCTTCAGAGGCATCAACTGTTGTCAGTTTGGTGTGGACCCTTGCAAACCTTTTTCCAAGTATTTACACCCACACACATACAGTTTGTGTTCACAGAACGTGTTGAGGACGTATGTGTATGTGTTCTCTATACACGAATCATGGTTCTCCTTCTGAAGAACTAGCTTTGTTCACTCACCAGTGTATCTTTAAGGCCTAGTTGTGCTGGGAATAAAAGTCCACCTCCCCGAGGACTGTGTAGGGTGCCAGGGTGTAGATGTCAGTCCACTTCTGGGTGAACACTTAGGGTCCTTCATATACAGAATGGAGCCTTTATACTGGGACATCTTGGTAGACCTACAGCTTCTTCAAACATATCTCAGAAAACACCGATCTGGACCAACTCCTCACCGTATGTCAAGGGAGTGAATAAGCCAGTGTCCCCCAGTAGGCCCAAGGCCAAGGCCATGGCCACAACCCAAGAGACCTGGATCTTTGTCGTGTCCCTTATGTGCCGTGTGACCTCACCTATGTCCCCAGCCCTCTCAGGTCCTCCTCCCATGACAAACAGGGCTGGGATGAGATATTCTCGGATATCCTTTTTGACACAGAACTTCTGTGGCTCCCCACACGCTATCAGATTCATCCCCTTCTCCCATTTCCTCCTCGCAGCGTCCTGACAAGAGCAACAACATCCCACCAGGGTCTGTGGATGGTAAGTATTTGGCAAATGTATGAGGTGGCATCTTGTGTCATGTAGCGGGTTAGGTTAGGTGCTCAGTCAGAGCTTAAGGCGAAAATCCCACACAGTCACAATCACCCTTGCAAATCCTTTAAATTGCTCCCAAAGTACTTTGTACAGGCTGTTTTGTTCTATTACCCTGTATACGAATGCAAACAAAACACCTTTAGCTTTAAACTCTAGAACCGCACCCCACGTGGCATGATCCTTATTTATACCATGAGACAGACATGTCACTGGTTCCAGGGCTGGGTGCCAATTGTTGGGATGGGAAACACCCAGGGCTGTGGTGGTGCTCAGATAAAGCCTTACCATCCTGCGTGTCCCTCTCCCAGTAGGTCCCAATGACATCATTGTGATCGCGCTATATGATTACGAGGCCATTCACCATGAAGACCTCAGTTTCCAGAAGGGAGATCAGATGGTGGTCCTGGAAGAGTGAGTCTCTGTCCCACTCCTAAGACACAGCTACCTTCAATACTCAATCATGCTCTCTTTTGTGTTTCAGTAAAGGACCTGATAGACTATCTTATACTAGGGGGTAAATGACTGATAAGAATCCTAATAGAGGAGGGAGGGTTTGCTGTGAACCTGGGTGAGAGCCACAACAAAGGAGCTTGTGTACTTGCTAGCAGTCCACATCCAGGCAAAAACAGGTGAAAGTGCTTTCTCAGGGCTGCCTTCCTCAGATTCCTGTAATCTAGCTATAGGTTTGTCTATGGACGACCCTGCTGAGGTGCCTTTGCATTCAAAAATCTCTGGTCTCTTGAGTTTGCTACCTCCAGTCCCCTAGAGTCTTCACTGTCAGTGAGTCCCTGTGTTCTAGGGCTCACGAATGGGAGTGATTATGCTTGATCAGACCACTCCCTGTGGTTCTTGGCATACAATGAGTCTGCCATGGGCCCAGGGCCCCATACCCTAAGTATGGACCGCTGCAAGTCCAGGGGAAGAGTGGGGCCAGAGACCTAGGGCTGTGGGCTGTGAATGCAAGGACTGGGCTTGATTCTAGAGCCTTGGATGCACAGTGGGGACTGTTGCGAAGCTCCCAACCCTGGTGATGGAGTGCATGCTGGGGGCTGGGACCATGGTGACCCTGCCCCTTACCCTATCTGCTTCCGGGGGTGGGGCTATTCTCGGCCAAGGCTGGGGAGCCCAAGACCGGGGGATTCCCTCTGCTTCCTGACTCCTTTGCTCCCTCCTGTCCTCAGGTCTGGGGAGTGGTGGAAGGCTCGATCCCTGGTCACCCGGAAGGAAGGCTACATCCCAAGCAACTATGTTGCCCGCATTGACTCTCTGGAGACAGAGGAGTAAGTATTCCATTTTTCCTGCCTTGCAGAAGGAAGTATGAGCAAAATCGGTTTGTTCCTGCCTCAGGCCTTGTGCACTCACTGTGTACCCCCGCATGACCCAGTCTTCCTAGGGGTCTGCCCTTGCCCGTCTCCTTCTCACCCTTCAGGTCTCAAAGAGGCCTTTCTCCACCACCCTGTCTAAGGCGGATCCCCTCTGGGACTGTGTCACTCATGGAGACCTGAACACTTCTCGCTAGCAAGAACAATCTTGTTTCTGTGGTTGCTCACACGTTCCCTGACTGCCTCCCCACCCCACCCCCCCAGATGGGACCATTTGAGGACAGGGACCTTGTCTGTCTGCCAGGGCACCTTCAGCACAGGCAGGCATGCAGTAGGCGCTCAATGCATATTTGTTGACTGAAGTATATGGTCATGCCAAAGAGGGTCTTCTGGAAGGTGAGCCAGCCCACGCCTGGCCAGACATGCCTCATTTGGTTCATTCAGTAAGTGTGTGCCTGCACATCACCAAGCCCTGTGCCAGACCAGAGACTTCAAGAACCAGTAAGGCACACCCCTGCCCTCAGAGATCTCCCTGTAGCCCAGAGGGCTAGGCTGCAGGTCCTTCTCTGTATCTAGATTGACCCTGAAAACGTAAACAGTTACACGGCATTCACGCAGCCTTCCCAACATCCAACAGACATTTGCCGAAACCAGCAGCCCTGTTTCAGGGACACTAGGTGACTCAGGGCTCTTCCCTGGTGATGTTCCCAGCATGGTGAGAGAGATGGGTGAGTGAAACGATGGCCATGCCACGGGGCAATGACGGATCCCATTCACAACCAGCCATTCAAGAAGTTAAAAGTCATTGTGGTTTTTCCTCTTTTCTGCCTCCTCCCTCTGGCTCGATGGTATTGAGGGTTTGAAATGCTGACCTATTAGAAATTCAAATGTTTGGGCTTTCCCCATCTTCAGTCATGCCCTTCTTGGTGCACATGAAACTGTGTGAAGTCGCCCCTCTCCTACCACGGAGCCTACTGTCCTGGACCACCCCACCCCCCACCCCCAGCACACCCCTTACCTGCTGCAGGCAGGGCTTGGTTCCTTCTTAATCCTTCTAGGCTTTCTCTTGGGGCTCTGTTCCCAGACTCCAGGATCTGAACACTCACAGATAGCCTGCACCCCACCTCCCTGGGCAGCCTTAGAGGAGGCACGGGCTGGTGGGAATCCTCAAGGGCAACACAATTGCTATGTGGAAAAGACAGGATGCAGAAAACACCTATGATGGGTTATCATTTGGGAACAAAAGGGATGACCTCATTGGTGGATCTCAGTCTTCAGTGCATCAGCCTCGCCTGGAAGGCTGGTTAAAATGCTGGTTTCTGGGCCCTGCTCCTCAACCGTCAGATTCAGAATTTGCATTTCTAACAAGTTCTCTGGTGAGGCTGATGCTGCTGGTCCCAGGACTCACCTTGAGAACCACTGACTGAAACAGACACATTGGGCTTGCCCAGCGCACTCACACGTTCTTGCATCTGTATTAAGAAACTACCAGTGGAGGGTGCCTTTGGGGAGGGCGGTCAGTGTACTGGGAAGTATGGGCGGGGGAGAATCTTACTTCTTCCCCCTCCTGGAAAGAGACAATAGTTTGAATGTTTCAAAATGCAAATGGTGGGAAAGGACATAGAATAAAGGGTGAAAAGTCTTCCTTCCACCCTGTCGCCAACCAGCCACTTTCCCCTCCCCAGAAGCCAGTTTCTTATGAGTCTTCCAATGCTTAATACTTGTGTATGAAAATACATATATCTCCCTTTATTTTACACCAGTGGCAGATACTACCCACGCCGTCCTGCATCTTCCTTGTACAGGTGCAGTGTCCGTCATGTAGACATGCTACCATCCCCTCTTCGTGGTCCTTGAAATCGTTTCCATTCCTGGGCTATAGTGAGTCTCCTTGTGTATCTGTCATTTCTTCCTTGTGCAAGATCCCTGGGATAACTTCCCAGGAGTGGGATTGCTAGGGAGACAGCTCTTACTGTGTACCCTGTTACATTGCTTGACTATTTCACCATGGCATGGATCAGTTCACAGATGAAAGCAGAAAAGGCAGGTGGGCGGTGTCCCATGGTGACAAAGAGCATGGGTTCCAGAGTTAGATGGCCTGGACTTGAATCCTGCCTCTACCACTTCCCAGCTGTATGACACCAGTCAAGTAACTTGCTCTCTCCATTCCTCAGTTTTCTCTTCTATGAAATGGGGATACTAAGGACCATGATTCCATATAATTGTTGGGTGGATAACAAGAACTTGATGAATGTTAGCTGTCTTTTCTCCCCCAGTTGATACAGAGGAAACAGAGGCCCAGAGGGGGAGAGAGACTTGCTCAAAGTCACACAGCAGATTTGTGGCGGGTGCAAGGCCAGCTGATCTTGGGTCTTGGACATTTTCCATTACAGCACACGAACCACTCCTCACTCTGCTGAGGGTAGGAATGGATTTTGCTGCTGCCGTGTCTTGGGCTTTTTTACTCAATATCCCAACCAGCCAGGGAGAAAAATGAAAAGGTCCAAGTATAAAATTATTGAAATCTCACATTTTAGCTTAAAAATTCATGTCGATTTTATATTCGACTTTGCACACACAGAAGAGGATACATTGTAAAGTTTACAAATCTCAGGCCCCCACTCATATGAACCCTCTGAGACCCTGGGAGGACGCTCATGTGTGCCTGTGAAATTGGCAAAAGCAAGATTTTAACCACAGTTGGTTAAGACTTCTGTATCTTACCAGTCAGTTTTTCTATCCCTCACCATATCCTTCACCTTGGGTGGCATTGGAATGACCAATGGGCATTTTGTATTAATAATGCTGTATTCTTTATCTTTAAAAAAAAGTTGGGTGGTTTTTGTTTTTTTTTTTTTTACATTTTTTGGGGGAAATCTTTCTTTTGGTATTATTTTTCTTAAAGAAAGCCTCCAAACTGTGTAAGTTTCCATCTCAGCAAACTGGATTCACTCCTGGTAAAATGTCTGTTTTTATATCAAAAGAATGGTTATTTTTCCCCAAAAGAATCTTGTGGGGGAAATCGATGCTATAGGAAGCCAGGTGCTCGGTCTCTTGGTGCCCGGTATGAGCAGGACAGGACCCCCTATCCCGAGTTCACACAATGCTTCTGCCCCTTTCCACCAGGTGGTTCTTCAAGGACATCAGCCGGAAGGATGCAGAGCGCCAGCTCCTGGCCCCCGGCAATGTACTGGGCTCCTTCATGATCCGGGACAGCGAGACCACCAAAGGTGACGCCAGCCCTCCCCACCCTACCCCACCCTTCAGGGGTACCCCAGGCATGACTGCGTCACTGCAATGCTGCAGGGGGGCTGAACAACTCACTCAGCCCACCAGACTGCCAAGTTTTCTCCTGCCCTTTGCTGGAGCCTGGTTTAGGTCTTCTCAGCCCCTGTAATTGCTGGTTGGGTCCCCAAGTGGTTGTGGACCCCAAAAAACAATATTCTGTTGAAGCTTGACCTTCACTAGCTTGTATTACTTAAAATACCCATCATGATATATCTTGTCCACAAGCCTGATTCCCCACTCCTTCCATAAGGAAGGAGTAGACCAGGCAGTAAGAAGAACCCCACACCAGCCTCCTCTGAGACTCTGCTTAAACTGGCATTTGTGCTGTTTTTTGGAAGTTGTGATGTTGGTGAACAACTTCCTGAAATTCCTGTGCTGTGAGGGGGGCTTTCTGCTGGGCAGTCACCCAGGAAGGAAGAACAGTACCCAAAACCAAACTGGCATCCGTTGAGGCTAATTTTTCCAAAGGAATGGATGTCAATAAGGAGGTTTGGGATTTCCAGCTTCACATGTGGAGCTCACCTTTACTAATATGTTTAGTCTCAAAGCTGCTTGGTGCAGATTCGGCAAGCAAATTATATAAAGTGTGACCTCACAGGACCCTGCGCAAACAGTTTTGGGGACATCCATCAAAGACATCTGCCTGGCCTTTTGCTCTCCCCCTAGATGTCCAAATTGGTCAAGCCCGAATGTGGCAGGATAACGCCACTCACCATCACTGTTTCCGGCCAGTGCGTGTTTGCACTTTATTTCCTCCCACCCAACACCCCCCCTTCAAGCCTCAGGGCAAGGGAAATAGGACCAAAAAAGGCAAAGGCATACAGTTCCTGGCTTCTCCTATCCAGCTGCTCCCAGGACAGCTGGGGGATTGATTGAGCGGGACCATCCTGCAGATAGAGGCAGGAGAATCAAGAAACCACCCCAGTCCTGCAGGGCGGGAAGGTGAGCCTGGTCCCTTGCACAGGTCCCTCCCCCCACTGGAGGACCCTAGGGGCCAATTTAACCAGCTTAATAAAACTGACCCCGTGAGTCCCCTGAACCCTATCCGCTGCTTCTTGGATTCTACCCCACCCCCATCTAGTACCAGTCAAGCCAGCCTCACCTTGGCTGGACAGAGTGACAAAGAGTGGGGCCCGGAGCTAGCCGCCTGGGTTTGACTCCAGACTCCGCCACTTCCCAGCTGCATGCCTGCAAGTGAGTTAGTTCACCTGCCTGGACCTCCGTCTGCTTGCCTGTAAAATGATGGCGATCTAGAACCCTGATCTCACAGGGTTATTCATTCACTATAATGAATAACATAATGCCTTATATTCATATAATTCCAATCCATTTTGGGATGATTATTCATATTCACTCGCAGTTTATTTGGATGAAATTCTTAGAACAGTGGCTGGGATATCTGGTCACCTGTTTTTTTTGTGCAACAATTCAAGCCTCCTCAAAATCCTATGTCATAGTGCTCACGGCGCACGTAGAGCCGACTGAGACAGAGAGGCTAACAGGATGCCCAAGGATGCCCAGCTTACAAACGCAGAAGCATGGTCAGGGACTGAAAGACTTGCGTGTTTCCGGTCTGTGTGATGTCACATGCATTAGGTTCCTAATGCTCCTGTCACAAGTGACCACAAACTTCATAGCTTAGACGAGGTAAATTTGTTATCCTACAGTTCTGGAGGTCAGAAGTCTGAAGTCAGTCTCACCAGGCTCAAGTCAAGGTGTCTGAAGGGCTGGTTCCTTCTGGAGGCTTCAGGAAATAATCTGATTCCTTGCCTTTGTCAGCTTCTAGAATCCACCAGTATTCCTTGGCTCATAGCCCCTTTTCCACATCCGTCCAACCTTGTGTTTCTGTCTTCACCTATTCTACAATTGACTTTGACCTTCCTCTTATAAGGACCCTGTGATTCCATCGGGGCCACCTGGCCACAATAATCTGCCCATGTCCAGATCCTTCATGGGATCACACCCCCCAAGTCCCTTTAACCACGTGAGCTAACAAAGTCAGGTGCCAGCGATTAGGACACAGACATCTTCGGGGGGGAGCGGATGTTCAGCCTGCCACGACATCCAATGTTGACATTTATATTTTGACGTTTACATTTCAAGAACCAGACTGCATTGTGTTGTGGTTGTGGATCTTTTTCTTTGTTGGCTTCTGAGTCACCTCTTTACCAGTGTGATGTGATGTCTTGGCTATTGTGACAGATGGTAGATGATAGATCGAGATAATGAAGACGCTGATGAGAGCCGACATATGCTGAGGGTTCACATCCTCAGTGTTTTCCAGCATTACTTCTTTTCATCATCAGGCAATGCGATGAGGTTCGGAGGTATGAGGACCAACCCCATTTTACAGATGAGGAGGCTGAGGCACAGAGCGGTGACAGCATCACTTGTTCAGGGTCTCACAGCTGGACATGGAGGAGGCTGGACGAGCACCCAGATGGCCGGTCCCCACAGCCCACTCTTCCCCTGTACTCCCGCGGCCCCGGTGCCCACCCAGTGGGGGCGGTGGCCTTATAGGGGTGCCGGGAGCGGGTGTCAGGGTGCTAATGATGAAGTCTTAGAATATAAGTGAGGTTCGGTGGGGTAAGGTCTGGAGCCGACGACCAAGAAAGAATTCTTCAGACATCTTTGGTGCAGAATGGTGGTTTATTAAAGCATGGGGACAGGATCCCCGGGGAGAAAGAGCTGCTGTCCCAGGGCTGTGAGGAGTGGTCCATTACATGCTTGCAAGTTGGGAGGGGGTCAGGGATGGTGCAAATCTCTAAGGAATTTTGGAAGCAAGGTTTCCAGGACCTTGAAGGGCTAGCTATTGTTGGGAAAAGGTTAGTCATTACCAATAATAAAACTTTTGTCTGAGACCCTTTAGATGTATATCAGTGGACCATATGCTTGGGAATGATTGTCAACACTCTCTTTGAGGGTTTAGAGATGAAGTTTCGAAAGCAATTATTAAAGTAGACTACAGGATCCTGGTTGGGGGTAAGGGTCAGTCAGGCTAGGATTGCCCTTTGCCCTTAGCAAAGCCTCCAGGTGGAGGTAATTGAGTCCCTAGAGGAATGTCACTCTGCCTTTTTCAAGGGCTTGTCAGTGAGTAAGGAAATTTAATAATTTTTCTTCTGCCTCTGTTTCCCACATCACTAACATGAGGTGACAGGGCCCCGAGGTCCCACTCCTGACAGGTTTTTCGCTGGCCCTTGCAGGAAGCTATTCTCTGTCTGTGCGAGACTACGACCCCCAGCACAGGGACACAGTGAAGCATTACAAGATCCGGACCCTGGACAGTGGGGGCTTCTACATCTCCCCACGGAGCACCTTCAATACCCTGCAGGAGCTGGTGGCCCACTACAAGAGTGAGTCCTCCCCAGGGCCGCATCCCAACCAGGGTGGACCCATCTCCCCGGAATCCTAGGGAGGGGTGCGCTGTGGCCTCTGAGGCCTGCTGAGCTCTTCCTGACCTTCCCCAGACACATAGCTGCTTGGAGTCTCCAGAAGTCTTAGGCCTGCTGTTGAGCAGTAGGGTCGAGATACATCTCATCATGCCGGGTGCTTGTGTCCCCGCTGGTGGTAACCCACTGGAACCCTGGCCACAGGCAGTGGACCGGGCAGGGATGCCTTCGAGGGGAAGCCTCAGGCTAGCTGCCTTCGACTGACCAGGGGCTATGTTCCAGAGGGGAGTGACGGACTCTGCCAGAAGCTGACAGTGCCCTGCGTGTCCTCCAAGCCCCAGAAGCCATGGGAGAAAGATGCCTGGGAGATCCCCCGGGAATCCCTCAAGCTGGAGAAGAAACTTGGAGCCGGGCAGTTTGGGGAAGTCTGGATGGGTAAGGACCCAGGGCCAGAGGGTGGAGGGAGGGCGGAATGAAGGAGGTCATTGCTTCCAGGAAGAGTCAGAGGCAAAGTGGGGATGCCACCCTGCCTGGGTGTGGAGATTTGAATAAGAATCATAAAGGAGCAATTCAACTGATAGCAACCACATTGTCTTGCTATGCAAACACTGATTTGATTTTGAGGTCAGCCTTGTTGGGGTCCAAATCTCCCTTCTGGGAAGGAGGAGTTCCAGGTGAGGAATCTACTCCCCTCCCCAGTATGGAGCTGGAACGCTCCCCTAGTTTGGGGTTGAGATCATCAAAGTCCTCTTAGGAGGATGGAAACTAAGTGGGAAAATGTAGTTTGAGATTTTTCAGGTATGTTCAGTGTTGGCAACTGATAAGCAAGCTGCTCTGAGCCCCCATCATGTGCCCAGCACCATGCTAGGGCATTGTGAGGTGCTGAAAAGGCATGCACCATCTCTGTAATCCTACCCCTAATAAGAACAGCGATGCCTGCTTTGCAGAATGTGGGGTAGATACAATGCCTGGCCCAGTGCCCAGTGCACTCCACCATGCTCCACGTGGGAGTGAAGACAACTTACAGAGATGCAAACAATTCAGCAAGAAAAAAAATAAGCTTAAAACCCACACATTTCAACTCCATTTACTGAGACCCTGCTGTGTGCCAGGCATTGAATAAGAGAATGTGGCTGAGTGATAAGGTTGGAAAACTAAAAATTTTATATATGAAGGCCTTAGACTCTCACTACAGGAAGACTGCAAATCTAGATTTGAGCTTCCTGGCAGCCAAGGCAAAAATGGAAACACAAATAGTTATGAGATTTACATGATCAACAAGAGGAGGCAGGGATGGGGTGGCTTTAGTCTCTGTGGTGGGAGGAGGAGACTGATTGATATGCAGGCTGATTGGTGTACAAAAGGAGGGGGCAGAGTTTGGTGAGGCCAAATCCTGCGGGGCTTTGTGGACCATGATGAGATGGGTCATTTAATTGAGAGCAGTGTTACAATTAAAGCATTTTAAGCAAAGATGGTGTGTGCGTGTGTGTGTGTGTGTGCACGCGTGCGTGCATACACACACATGCACGCATATGCAAGTAACAGTCTGAGTGAGGTTTTGAGGTTATTCTTGAATCCCTACCACAGCCCTTGAAAAGCAATGCTGATCATTTCCACCTTGCAGATGAGGAAACCATAGTTCAGAGAGGTTAAGTGACTTGCCCAAGGGCACACAGCTAGGAAGCAGTGAACCAGCCTTCTAACCCACATCTTTCTGAAGCCAAAGCCTGTGCCTCCCTTTCCCTCTCTGAGGGCTGAGATGAGCAGGGAAGGCCTCCTGGAGGAAACAGACCTGCTGTGGGGCCTCCCAGGGCCATGTGGGAAGGAGCAGTGGGTTCTGACCATCTTTCCTGTTCCCTCCCCTGCTCCAGCCACCTACAACAAGCACACCAAGGTGGCCGTGAAGACGATGAAGCCAGGGAGCATGTCGGTGGAGTCCTTCCTGGCAGAGGCCAACCTCATGAAGACCCTGCAGCACGACAAGCTAGTGAGGCTGCACGCGGTGGTCACAGAGGAGCCCATCTACATCATCACGGAGTTCATGGCCAAAGGTGCTGCTCTCGGGGCGCTGGGGATGCAGGCGGTGGCTCATACTGGTCAACTGCAGACTCAAATGTGACCCTGCCCTCCAGATGCCCCAGTCTGGCCAGGAGCTCTTCTGACAATTACTGTTTGAAATTGACTACTTGGGCCTTGACAGGCAACGCCCAGACCTCCTCCTTAATGGGCTGAAACCATTCAAGGGGATGCCAGGAGAAGGGGAGCTCACGGGGCTACAGGAGAGGGGAGTGGGGCCAGCACCCCTCTGGGTGATGGTAGAAGAGGCTCATGGGTTCACAATAGCCTTTGAGGCTGGGGGCAGCTCCTTGCCTCACCCGCAGTCTTCTCGGTCCGGACCAATGCTCTGGGAAAGAGAGCTGGGGAAGACTTCCCTCCAGGCTGCCCCCACCCCGCCTGCCCATGATCCAAGATTTCCCAGGATTTTTTTGTTTTTTGGGGTTTTTTTTTTTGGCCACCACTTCACCACCATCTTCAATCCTTGCCCATTTTTCGATAAACAGAAACATCTCACGCAACGTCATTGGGTGTGATTTTAAAATCTCAAAATGCTTTTCATTTTCTAAATACACAATTATGCCAGCGCGGGGAAAGCACAGCCCCCTCTGGTCATCGGGGCTCAGAAAACTCCCTCAGTGGAAGAAACCGTGATTGCCCCCATCTAGTAATCACAAATCATTTTTAAAACACTCAAACTCTAGTTCATAAACACCAGGAGTGGTAAATAAATATTTTTATTTAAATCCATGACTATGAGCAATTTTAACCGTGCACCAAAGAAGTGTGAGAACTGACTGGCATGTATTGCGTCCCCTCCCCCCACAGGAAGCCTGCTGGACTTCCTGAAAAGTACAGAGGGCAGCAAGCAGCCATTGCCCAAGCTCATTGACTTCTCAGCCCAGGTGAGAGTCTAAGGGGGCCTTGGCGGCCCAGGGCGGGGGGGACAGAAATTCCGTGATCTCTTTAACGTGTTTATTGGACACATGCTATAATAGTGTAAATAGTAGTAAATAGTAAATAGCAATTTCTTAACTCTAGCTGACTCTGTTGTAAGAGTACAGGGTATAATACACATAATATAACAACGGTATTAATCCATTGTTTACGTTACTGATGAGGCTTCCGGTCAGCAGTAGGTTATTACTAGTTCAGTTTGGGGGGAGACAGAAGTTGTATGTGGGGTTCTGGCTGTGCAGGGGTCCTGACCCTCATGTTGTTCAAGAGTCAACTGTATACTTTCTGTATGTGTCTTGCCGGTACTAACTCGTTTGGTCCTCACATCAACCTTAGAGAGCGGGATTTTTCTTATCTATTTTTTTTTTAAGATTTTATTTATTTATTTGAGAGAGAGAGAGAGAACACAGGGCACAGGAGAGGGGCAGAGGGCGAGGGAGAAACAAACTCCCCGCTGAGCATGGAGCCAGCCACCAGGGACTTGAACTTGGACCCCAGGACCAGACCTGAGCTGAAGGCAGTTGCTTAACGGACTGAGACCCCCAGGGGCCCCTTTATTATCTATTCTTATGTAACAGACTCCTCCAAAGCTTATTGGCTTGAAACCACAGCTTATTATTTCTTGTGATGCTGCTCGTTGACTGGGATTGGCTGGGTGGCTCTTCTGCTCCCTGTGGTGAGACTGAGGTCAGTCATATGGATGGATTCTGCTGAGAGCTTGCCTGGGGCTAGAATGTTCTAGAATGTTTATCATGGGGGCCCATCCTCTGGGATCACTCTCCCGTGGCTCCTCATCACTCAGTAGTCCAGCCAGAACTTCTTTACAGCATGGCGGCTAGGTTCCAAGAGGGAGTGTTCCAAGGGGTCGAGCCTTAATGTGCAAGCCCTTGTGAATCCTCTGCTCCCATCATTCTTGTTACTTTTCACTGGCCAAAGTATGGCCCATGACCCAGCCAAGGCTCAGTGTGGAAGGGGGCTGCACAAGGGCATGAGTCCCAGGAGGCACAGTCCACGGAGGGCTACCGGTGTAATAGGCTGGCCACAGATAGGTCATCCCATTTTACAGAATAGGAAAGTTAGGCCTGGAAAAGCAGTTGACTACAGATGAACTTTATCTCTCTCATCTTCCCTTCACTCTCTACAGCTTGAGTGTTTTTCGATTCTGTCTCTCTCATTCTCTCCTCTCCATGGGAAAACAGGGGAGGAAGGGATGCTGTGGGAGGACATACTGGAGCATTTAGCCTGGTCCAGGAGCAACCCAAGAAGGCTTCCCAGAGGAAGTGGCTTCTGGGCTGAACCCTGAAGGATGAGTGGAAGTTAGGCAGCTGAACTGGAGAGAGGAGGGTATTCTAGATGGAAGAAACAGCTTGTGCCAAAGCCCATGGGGAAAAGCAAAAGAGCAGGGCCTCGTAAGCTAGTACCTGGGACTGGCAAAGATGAGAGGGGTATGGTTTGCAGCCTGGAGAGTGTTAAGGGAAACCTGCCTAGGACCCAAGGCTGTGCCTTCTGGAGATCCCTAAGGCAGAACTCATTTGAGTATGCAAATCTCAGGAGAGGGAGGGATGCCCAGAGATTATTTAAAAAAAAAAAAAAAAAAAAAAAAAGGCTTTAAATTTTGGAGCCTGGAATGCCAGAGGCATATGGAAATCAAGGCCTGGTATTTTCACTTTAATGGGCCCTGTCCCTAGGGAAATAATAGTCTGCCCTATAACTAACTTATAACCATCAAACTGGCAGAAATCTTACTGGGGGAGAGTCAGCCTGGACAAATGCCATTCTGCCTGCTTCACAGATGGGAAAACAGAAACCAAGGGAGGGAAAGAAGATCCTGACCCTTAAATGTCCAGGAATAGAGGGCCCAGGGAGAGGAAGGAGGCAACCTGGGATCAGGTCTTCAATTCCAGTCCTAGAAAGGCAGATGGTGTAGAACATGCCTCACCTGAGCACTGGCTATATGGGCCTCAGACCTACGACATGCCTCGGTGTCTTCATTTGTCAAATGAGGGAATTAGACCACAGCTATGCTTTCCAAGTTCAAAAGTCTTTTTTTTTTTTTTTAGATTTTATTTATTTATTTGACAGACAGAGATCACAAGTAGGCAGAGAGGCAGGCAGAGAGAGAGATGGGGAAGCAGGCTCCCACTGAGCAGAGAGCCCGATGTGGGGCTCGATTCCAGGACCCTGGAATCATGACCTGAGCCAAAAGGCAGAGGCTTTAACCCACTGAGCCACCCAGGCACCCCCAAAAGTCTTTTGTAAAGCCCTAACTTTGTTGGTCAAGTGAATTCTTGTACAGTTGCTGAGTATTTTAAAATAGATCAAAACAGAGTTGCTTGGATGGAAGGGGGTGCCCTTTGCTTTGTCCACCCAAACCCCGACCAGCAAACCCGAGGAATTACTAGGATTCTGTTGGAAGAGCCCAGATTAGGTCCTTTCAGCTCTGATTTTGTGGCTCCCTGATACTCTCAGAAGGAAACCCAAATTGTTGTTGTTTTTCAAATCCAAGTTTTAATGCCCAACATAATGGCAGCCTTCTTGGTGGTCATGAAATATCACCACTTCATCACCCCCTCCTTCTTGGACCAACCCTGAACCCAGCAAACCTCTCTGTTATTCCTTCAACCCTTGAGAAGCAACACTGTGTAAGCCTCTGGGGCTTAGTAGTCACATAGAGTTTTGGTTTTGATCCCAGCTCTGGCTGTGTTGCTTTGAGCCAATTGCTTAACCTCTCTGAATATGCCACCTTCCTCACCAGGGAGCATGAATAGCCCCGATTGAAGTGAATACCTACGAGCCAGACCCTGTTCACATCCTTGTGTAGGCTGAGAGGATTCATCCTAACATAACCCCACAGAAGCAGGTTCTGTTGTTGTCCTCATTCTACAGAGAAGAAAAGTAAAGCACAGAAGAGGGAAGTAGCTTTCTGGAGGTCCCAGAGCTGTGTGGCTCAGGCTGAGTTGGTCCAACATCAGATTAAGCCCAGAGTTCCTTAGGCAGTATCCTCTAGTCTCCTAAATTGGGTTAATCCCATCTGCTCCACCGAGTGCATGTGAAAATCAATGTTACATGAATGTCTGCCTGTGAGTACTGAAAAAATGTACCTAGCAGCATTAGTGCCAAATCCAAGGCCAAAACCCAGGTAGAGCGATGCATCAGTGCACAGACCCTGAGCAGGGATGCTGGAGGTCCATTCCTGCTCTCCACTTGGACCAGTTACTTATTTCTCTAGAATTCAGCTTTCTTGCCATATGGTTGATAGCAGCAGAACCACCCCCAAGCACAGAGCAAATGCTATTTAAGCTCAAATATCATCTTATAACAAATGAATGAGCTACAATTCCTGTCATTAGCATAATAGCTCTTGTTAACTGTTCTGTTGTCTGAGGACTCCTCATTAATCCCGCTCCCCTCCCCCTCTGCCTCCTGCAAGACCTTGTCTCATCTCACCGCAGGCTTGCAACTCCAAGCAAAATCAGTCTCGAATTTTTGCTAAAAGTCTGAAGCCTCACACCTCGGTTCCGGTAGCCATCGGGTGCCCCCTGCTGGCAACTTTCTGCAATTGCGCCACCCTCTTGCCTCTGACCTTGAGCAAGCTTGTGTCTTGGTTTGGTCTGTCTTGGCAGGCTCCCCAACACCACCCCCAAAATCTCACGAGATTGCACCCAGTTGCAGTCCTCCAAGCACGGGAGTTCTGCAGTAATTAGAGGAAACATGGGGCACAGGGACTGGAAATCTGCAGACTGGTTTGAGTCTGACATTGAGAATTTTCCTGGTGGGATGATCTGGAAAAAGTGTCCCCCAACTCTATAAAACAGAGATTGTAGTAACACGTGTAGTAACACGAGGAGCTCAAAGGCCAGTTTGTAAGCCACAAGTGCTGTTTCCTGGGTGTCTGGGTGTTAATTATAAGCTTATTTATGAGGATGTTAATGCACAAGCCCTTGAGAAAGATCCTTAAGGAAAAAATCGAGATTTTAGGCACCCGTTGTGAATGAGAATTCTCTATACAGTCTTTTATTCGTTCAGCAGCCATGATGGCATTAAAATATACATCAGATCATGTCACACTCCTGCTCAAGGACTTCTACCATCTTCCCATCATGCTCAGAATACAATCCAACCTGTTCTCCAAACCTAGAAGGTTCTTCACAGTCAGCAGCCTCCCTCTCAACCTCAACTCCCACCATCCTGCCCCCGCCCCCGCACCATGACAACTTCTGCTTAGCTACCTGTTCCATGAACACCCAAATTCATTCCTACCTCCGGGCCTTTGCACATGATGTTCTTGCTCTCTGCCAGGAATGCTCTTATTTGACATACTTATTATCACCACTCAGATCTCTGCTAAAATTTCACCTCCTCAAGGCAGGCTTCCCTGACTACTCAATCCAAAACAGCTCTCTACACTGATGTCCTGCTATCCTACTTTATCCTTTATGACACTTATTACTACCCACAGGGGCCTTGCCTGGCTCACCAGCTGTTCAAATAATATGCCTGGCACCCATGAGACACTCAGTAGATATTTGTTGAATTTTCCCTACCCAGGCTTAAAGATGAAGAAGGTACAGAGATACAGCAGAATATGACATTAGTTTAGGTTGTCCCCCAGAAAGAAGGTTGGGGATGAGAGGATCTCATAGTATTCTGTTATGTGTATATAGGTCCTAGGGAAATAATGCTCTTTCCTCAAAATAGTCTCTGGAAGTCTTGGAATCCCAGAAAAGCCCCCAAAGAGACCCAGGTCCTGACATATCTCCCCAGCCTAGATGGGGAGATAGAGAAATTCCAAACTGAGCTCAGGACCCTTCCACAATAAAGGGGAAGCACATGCATTTTCACTCCTCTTATGTTTTTGGCTGGGACCTATTTTGGGCTGGGCCAGATGTGAGGATGAGGATGTCTCTGTTTTGGGTGGAGATTGCAGAAGGCATGGCCTTCATCGAGCAGAGGAATTACATTCACCGAGATCTCCGAGCTGCCAATATCCTGGTCTCTGCATCCTTGGTGTGTAAGATCGCCGACTTTGGCCTGGCACGTGTCATCGAGGACAATGAGTACACAGCTCGGGAAGGTAGGGAGCACTGCCAAAGTATCCATGGGGCCCTCTTGGATGGGTTATGAGCACTGAGAGCTGAGATGTGTCTCAGTATTAGCTTGAAGTTAGTAAGCTTGCTGGAGTCGTTCCAGATAGAGTATCCTGAGCCATAGACTCTCATACCCAGTGACTCAGATCAATTTTAGCCTGAGCTAGCCAAGTGCATGTTGAAATTAAGCGTGAGAGCAACTTTATGCGTAATAGACAAAAACTAGGAAGAATCCAATTATCCATGAATAGTGGAATGGATATATAAATTGTGGTACATTTATGTATTATAATATTATGCAGCAATGAAAAGTTACAAATCAATGCTCCATGCAACAAAATGGTTCATTCTCATAGACATAATATTGAAATGAAAGAAATCAGACACCCCCCTCAAAACGTAGATGCCACCATTTATATAAAATTCAGAAACAGGCAAACTTGTGTATGAACAGCAACATGATTCGTGACAGCCAAAAAGTGGAAGCAACAAAAGCACATTATTCAGCCACAATAAAGAAGGGACGGACTGATGGATGCTGACCGTGGATAAACTTCCAGAACATCGTGTTAAGTGACAAAGACTGCATATTGTATGACTCCATTTATACCAGTCCTTAAGGACTCTCCTCTTCAGGAGCTGTAGTTTCCTGGGGTATGAGCTGAATCAATGAGGTGGCCCAGAGTGTCAGCTCCCCTGGCGCACCCCAGAGCCCTCTGCCCTCTCCTCTCCCCTCTAGACAACTGTCCTTAGGATTGATGGCCCTTGCTACCGTGGACGCCGGACAGAGGGACAGATGTCAGCAGCCATGCCCCTGTCCTGCTCCCCACCCTAGCATACACCCAGCCATGACTGCTCCCAGACTCTCCCTGACTCTGCTCTGTCCAACCCCACAGGGGCCAAGTTCCCCATCAAGTGGACAGCTCCTGAAGCCATCAACTTTGGCTCTTTCACCATCAAGTCAGACGTCTGGTCCTTTGGTATTCTGCTGATGGAGATCGTCACCTATGGCCGGATCCCTTACCCAGGTAGCGAAGGGGACATAGCTTGTGGCTGCTTCCATGGCCCAGTCCGGGTGTCTTCTCTCATTAGTGTGTCCATTCAGACAGTTCTTGGTCCTTGCCCCCAACCTCCCCTCACCTGCCCCATCTCAGTCAAAGGTACCTCCATCCACCCAGTTTCTTAAGCTGAAAATCTGGAGGCTTCCTTGGCCCTCCCTTTTCTCTCACCTCTTCCTACATCCAAGCAGTCCCAAGGTTCTGGCCACTTGTCTCCAAAACACATGCTCATGTCTAACTCCTCTGCCTCCACCTACATCCAAGGCAACATCATCTTCCACCTTGATGGCACGGTGGCCTCCTACACAGTCTCCCTGCATTTGTCCCTCTCCCCCATAGTCCATTCTCCACTGAGGCCAGAGGGATCTTTCTAGAATTGTGAAACAGATCTTGTCCCTTTTCCACCTCTAACTCTTTAATGGTCTCTCATTGTAGTTGGGACAAAATCTCAAACTTCTAATTATAGCCTTCAGGTCCCACATGATCCAGTGCCTGCCTCCTTCTCCAGCTTCATCTCAGTCCGTATCCACCATCCTGTCATCTAAAGTATCATACATGCCCCTCACTTCTCATTCATAATATCCCATATGGTCTCATTCAGAGTATGCATTGCAAAATTGATAACCGTATATTCGTTTAATATTTTCCCTACCAGACACTGAGCTCCATGAAGCCAGAAATAATGTCTATACTCCTCACTAGTGTATATGCCGACCTGTGTGCTTGGCGGCACATGGTGGGTGATTAATAACCACTTACTGAATGAATTAATTTATCCCCATGCCTATGGGCAGCACCCTACGCTGAGTAGACCATGTAGTTACAAAGATATACCCAACATGCAGATTGCCTGAGACTCTATAAATAATGTTACTCTCTGTTCCTTTCTGGTTGGGATGTCTCCTGGGTTATCTGTAGCCAGAACACTGGGGAGAAGGAGAAAGGCAGATACAGAGATTCCCTGACTTTGTATATAAACCATCCTGAATTTGAATCTCACCCCAACAACAATTACACTTTGAGAAATTCACTTCACTTCTCCTAACTTGATGTCTTTACCTTTAAAAAATACAGGTAATGATATCTACCTTGCAGAAGTGGTTGTGAAGATTAGAAATAAAGAGATGTAGACAGTTGGTTCATTCATTGGTATTGATCAAATCCCTCCTGTGTATTAGGCACTGAGGATACGGTGAGACCAGCATGTTCTAGAGTGGAGGGACACACACACATCAGACACACACACTCCCAGCTGGAGAGGACTGCTGAGCAGAAAATGAAGCAGGACAAGTGAGAGGGAGTGACATGGGCTGCCTGTGGTGTTCCCCAGCTCCTGTCATGGTGGGTCCTATCGGAGTTGAAAGACAGCTCAGTGATGAACTAGGGGAAAGAGTCCAGTTAGAAAACACCACCAGCTCTTAGGCCCTGAGGTGTGTTTAAAGAAAGACAGAGAAGCCTGGTAGCTGGAGACAAGGAATGAGAGCAGATGGTGAACAATGGGGTTGGCAGGGCCCAGATCAGGGAGGGCCCGTGGTCATGTTAAAGAGTGTGGAGTGTGGATGTTAGTCTAAGTGTATGGAAGCCATTGGAGGGTCTGGGGCAGGGAAGTGGCATCATCTGATCTCCATCTTTAAGTGATGTTTCGGTTCAGCATGGAGAGTAGATTGGGGGTTGAGGAGAAGGTAGCAGTCACAGCAGTGGGATGGGGGCAAGTGGTAGAAACAGAGGTAAGTTGGTGGGTTGATGCTATGTTTCAAAAGAAGGAAAAAATGTGACTTGCTGATGAGGAAGGAGAGAGAGAGAAGAATCATGGTTGATCCTCTTGGTTTTAATTGTGCAGCTGGATAGGTGATGGGCTGGGGCTAGAAATTCAAGAGTTCTGGTTTAGTCCTGTTAAAATCGAGGTGACGTGTAACATCCAAGGAAAGATGTTGGAGGAAGCACTCGGATATACGAGTTTGGGGCTCTAGACTCGTAGTATAAGATTGGGCATCACAGGCGTGTAGAATATTGTTTTTCAGGATATCTCAGATAAACTTCATTGAACAAGGAAATGGTCCCACTCACAGAGTGACACTGAGACAGGCCACCTGTTTTGTCTTGAGGATACACCAGTAAGAGCCAGGCAATGGGTTATGGAACCTATATCCAAGAGGACACATTAGGCTGTAAGGAACAAAATAACCAAGAGTGGCGGAAACTATAGGCAAGTTATCAGTCTCCATGAGGAGGAGTCTGGCGTTGGTGAATGGCTAGTTCACGTGCTCAACAGCACTCAGGACTGTGGTTAGCTTCTCTGTGATTGTCTTCCCTGTGCGGTCCTCCAAGGATCATGTTGTTCCTCAATGTCATCGAAAGAGGAAGGGTGTATCTTTCAAGGGAGGAACACCTTTCCTGGTAGTCTGCCTGAACAATGCTCCTCAGCTCCCATTGGCCAAAAGTGGGTGCCACGCCCCTACCCTAGCTGTTAGGGAGACTGGCTTTCACAGTGGGAGGGGCTCAGCTCCTAAGGGAGGTGGGAAGTGATGGCTGTGGGGGAGGTCACGGTGTCTGTCACCCCGGGTTTCCCTGTCCCAATCCCTCCCTTTTTAATTCCATGGCTCCTTCTCAGGGATGACAAACCCAGAGGTGATCCGGGCGCTGGAGCGCGGGTACCGCATGCCTCGACCAGAGCACTGCCCTGAGGAGCTCTACAGCATCATGACACGCTGCTGGAAGAACCGCCCTGAGGAGCGGCCCACCTTCGAATATATCCAGAGCGTGCTGGACGACTTCTACACGGCCACCGAGAGCCAGTACCAACAGCAGCCGTGATGCGGCGAATCCGGGCGGAGCCAGGTACCCAGCTGATGCCTAAGGGGCGGCTCTAGCGCAGCCTGCCTGGTCCTGCTCACCGTTCCCCACAGACACCGGCCCGCCCCATCTCAGTCCAGCCACAGTTCTGCATCTGTCAAGTGGTTTGAACTGGACAGTCTCTTTTTGACTCCAGCAGTCTACAAATCGGCCGTCCTCAGGAGACCCCAAGTTGATATGTCTATTGCCTGGGACAGCTGGATTCCAGTTACCTCTGTGGTTGCGATGGGAAACTTTAAAAATGATGGAATAAATATTTAAATAAAAGACACAAAGGCTAAAGTCTTTACTGACAGATCGGCTTGTCTTGTCCTGCCAGTTCGTGACTATCATCTATTTGCCTTTTTGCTAGATGACACATCAGAGAAGAGGAAGGACCCTTCCAAAGACCAGGAGTATGAAGAGAAGTGGGGTCCAAGGCTTCCAAGGTTTCTAACGGCCCACCCCCCCTGCCAGTTAGTCACTGGCTGTGTTAGTTTCCTATGGCTTCTGTAACAAATGACCACAAACTTGGTGGCTTAAAAACACAAATTCATTATCTTACAGTTCCAGAGGCAGATGTCTGAAATGGATTTAGCAAGGCCGTGTGCCTTTCAGAGCCTCTAGGGGAGAATCCATTTCCTTGCGTTTTCTAGCTTCTGGAGACTGACATGTCCCTGGACTCTTGCTTCTCTTATACCCATCCCTTCAAACCGCTTGTCATGACAGCTCCTTCTCTGACTCTGTCTCCTGCCTCCCTCTTCCTCTTGTAGGGACACCTGTTGGTACATTGGGCCCACCTGGATAATCCAGACTAACTTTTCCATTTCAAGATCCTTATTCACATCTGAGAAGCCCCATATTCACAGGTTCCAGGGATAGGACAGTGACATCTTGGGTGTCGGGGAAGGGCTTTATTCTGCCTATCACACTGGCACTGGGATGCTGGATGGGTTTTTGTCTCCAAAGAGCTGAGTCTGACAAGATGATAAGAATGACTTTTTGGGTGCCTGGGTGGCTCAGTGGGTTAAGCCTCTGCCTTCGGCTCAGGTCATGATCCCGATCCTGGGATCAAGTCCAGCATTGGGCGCTCCGCTCAGCAGGGAGCCTGCTCCCCCCTCCCCACCCCTCTGCCTGCCTCTCTGCTTACTTGTGATCTCTCTCTGTGTGTCAAATAAATAAATAAAATCTTTTTAAAACAATCTTTAAAAAAAATAAAAATTTTTTAAAAAAAGAATGACTTTTCAAATTGGGGCCCTGACTTTCCTGATGACCCACACTGATACACAAGCTGGTTAGTCTGGGTCTCCCCGAGGGCTGCTGGGCTGTCCACAGGCTGGGCATTACCCATGGCCAAGCAGCCATCATGGTTGTTAAGATGGTATCCACCATTGTAGGAATACCAGGGCCTGGAGATGTGGTTGCTGAGAGGTATTTGGTAGCCTGCATGAGAAGCTCTCAGTGGAGGGGAGGGAAATGTGGGAAGGACGCAGAGAAGACAAGGAAGAAGTGGGCCTTTCCTGCATGTTGCTTCAATCGAAAGCATTAGCTTTCATTGTAAGGGGAATGGTGGGAAGAGGTGGACAGTGAGATGGGGGAACCAATGACATCTTTCTATATTATTGCATCTCCTGAAGGATTTACATCACAGCACCTGCCAGGGTCCCCTGGAACCCTATAGTGAATTTGTTCTGCACCCCAGAGTAGCACAGAGGAACTGGGAATAAGCAGTGGAAAATGAAGCTAGCAGTGTTTCAGTTTACCTAGTGGGTTACTGAATTTCTCTCCTGCTTTCTCATTTGGGATATATCTTTGGGTATCTGAAAGCAGAGCTTAGGCTCCTTTGGTGGAAATTTGCACTCACGATTTGTGGTATAGCTCTTCAGTAATTCATAGGAGGGAACCTGTTGCTACAAAGACAAGACCAGGGGTCAGTTCCCATCATCCTGCTCTTTTGGTTTACACTGCCTCTACTGTGATTTATCCCTCTGGTCACAGCAAAGATGCAGTAAAACATGAGGACCAATACAACACCAAAGCACAGTCCATGGAAGAAAATATTGCTAAATGATACTCCATTAAAATTAAAAACTCTGCTCTGAGAAAGACACTGTTAAGAAAATGAGGACATCTGGGTGGCTCAGTCATTAAGCATCTGCCTTCGGCTCAGGTCATCGTCCCAGGGTCCTGGGATTGAGCCCTGCATTGGGCTCCCTGCCCAGCGGGGAGTCTGCTTCTCCCTCTCCCACTTCCCCTGCTTGTGTTCTCTCTCTCTCTCTCTTCCTGTCAAGTAAACAAATAAAATATTTTTAAAAATTAATAGAGGAAACTGGGGGCTGGATGAGAGGGTATATGGGAATTTTGTGCTTTCTACTCATTTTTCTGTAAACCTAAAACTGCTCTGAAAAATAAAATCTGTTCAATAAAAAAGCAAACAAAAACATGGAGATAAATTTGAGTGCCACCAATTCTTTGGGAAAGCTGCATGCACTCCTCCTCTGGAAGGCATCAAAGGAAGGCATAGATAAGGTGTCCCATTCTAAGACGACAACGACTTGCTTTAATCTAGTATCTAGATGTGGCTTTGAGTTTAAACACAGGGGAAGTAATTGTTTCATTTCTCTCTTGTGAGTTAAAATAAAACTGCCTCCTTATTCCCTGACCTGGGCCCTCAGTTTTGTCATGTGTCTGTCCTCATCACCATATATTCTGGATAATGCTATATCAATTTGCATTCCATTTGCATCTCTTCCCTTTTGGAAGTCGGCAATGACTGCTAGTTGTCACCATAACCATGTTCCCCCTTCTTCCAGAGAAAGAGCATTTTTTTTAAAGATTTTATTTATTTATTTGACAGACAGAGATCACAAGTAGGCAGAGAGGCAGGCAGAGAGAGAGGAGGAAGCAGACTCCCTCCTGAGCAGAGAGCCCAATGCGGGGCTTGATCCCAGGACCCTGGAATCATGACCCGAGCCAAAGGCAGAGGCTTTAACCCACTGAGCCACCCAGGCGCCCCAAGAAAGAGCATTTTTATCAGGAGGCACATGACTGCCCAGAACGAAGGCTGCACTTCCTACTCCCTCTTACTGCTAAGTGTGGCCAGGTGATTAAGTTCTGATCAATGGGTTGTAAGTGGAAGTGTGCTAAGGCACCTTTTGGTATTCTTTCTTAAAAGACAACTGATGTGGACTCTTTGCCCCTTATTTTTCATCTCTTCCTCTATCTTGCTGCCTAGAATGTGCATGTGAAGGCTGGAGCTCTGGCTACCAATTTGGACGCTGAGGACCATGAATTAACTCAAAGGATTGCAAAGCTGGATGGGGCTTAGATCTCTTAAAATATTTTAAGCACAGCCACCATAGCAACTAGAAGGGGCCTCCAAGACTTTCACCTCAGAGGGTGTGGCATGACTGTCAGTATCCCTTGAAGTGGGCTAGACTTTTAGCTGCCATTATCTGCATCATGGTATGCCTGAGGGCTCTTTTCCTAAAGCTGCAGAAAGCCTCAGCTGCCAGTGTTCCCAGAAGGCCAAAAGTGCTGAGGAATTCATCCACTCTGGGATAAATCCTCAACTAATGACTTCTGGGAGTTGGTGTATAAATATCCCTGCTCCCTTGCTCCCCTGATATGGTAACTGTGAGGTGTGTGTTTTGGGTTGTTTCCCAGAGTTTCCCCATAGGATATGCTTCAGTTACTCACAGAGGTAAGTTGCTTGACAACATACCTTCTCCAAGTATAGCTCTGACATGACTGTGGGTTGATAGTTTCATTTATATTCATGAATAAAATGAAAATGAAATAATGAAGATGTGCATGGGAACTTCACTCATTAGTCAATGACATGAGCAACTTCTTTGTAACTCAAGCAAGAGCTTCCAATATACCCTCACATTTTTGTGCTGATTACAATGTAACAGATACAGATACAGGACATGTAAGGCTTAATCTGTGCAATTGCCTTTTTCTTTAGCATGTGAAGTCTAGACCAGGGACTGGCAAACTAGGGCAGACCATGTTTTATTGGAACACAGTGACGCCCATTATTTGTTGTCTGTAGTGGCTTTCGTACTGCAAGAAAGGGTTGAGAATTATGACACAATCGCACAGTCTACAAAGCCAAACATTTTGACTATCTGGCCCTTTACAGAAAATGTTTGCTAGCAAAACAAAATTTCAAGCCTTGATTTGTAGCATTTGCTGATTTAAGGGGGGGGGGCGTATAAATATTCCCACCATTGCCAATTTCAAGCTACTGACCAGAACTCTGTTATGGCTTTCACCAGCCTTAAGCACTTTTGCCTTCATAGAACCCTTCCTCCATACAATATATATTATATTTTATATTTATAAATATAAACATGAATATTTTATTTAAATGCCTATGTATATGATAAATAGAAATACTTATTTAAATGTTAAATATATAGTTGATAACTGCATTGATAGAAAGATGAATATACCAATAGGACCTATGAAAACTTTCCCTTTGACCCCCAAATTCATGTTTTCCTTCTTTTTTAAAAAATTTAAAAAAACTTATTTGGCAGAGAGAGATCACAAGTAGGCAGAGAGGCAGGCAGAGAGAGAGGAGGAAGCAGACTCCCTGCTGAGCAGAGAGCCCAATGCGGGGCTTGATCCCAGGACCCTGGAATCATGACCTGAGCCGAAGGCAGAGGCTTTAACCCACTGAGCCACCCAGGCGCCCCTGAAATTAATTTCTTTTAAAATCAGAAGGAAAACGTGGGGAGCACATGATCCCAGGGTGTTGGGATAGAGCCCCACAGAACATCTCCTGTTCTGGGGAGAGCCTGCTTCTCCCTCTCCGTGCTGCTCTGCCTACTTGTACTCTCTCTCTGTCAAATAAATAAATGAAATCTTTAAAAAAAAAAAAAAAAGTAGTGTATTGTATTGGGCTCTTGCCATCTATCCGAAGAAGTATACATATGTGTATAATGACAATTATTTATTGAACACATACTATGTAACATTATGTCATTGAATCCTCATCATAAACTTATTATAATCCCCTACCCATTTCGTCAATGAGAATAAGGTTAAATAAAAGACAGGATCCTACCCTTACAGGGATTACAATCTATTAGAGAGGATATAAAGTAGTCAGGCAAATAATTATATACTTAGTTACAAATTATTCCCGGAGTTGGACTGCTATTGGAGCACTGGTACTAATCCCACTCATCAAATCAAGGCCTCAGGTAACCCCGGCAACGGGTCCTTCTGCCAATAGTAAAGATGACGCCCAGAGAACCGGCGCACATACGCACACCCTCC